TTTTTGCAATTTTTCTGTTGGGTTGTATATTGCCTGAGTGCGAATAAAATGATGCTTAATAATAAAGCTAAAGGGAAATGGGTTGGCAGGAGTGAGTGCAACAGCACACTGGTGGACTGCGAGCTCAGTGAGAGCTTAAAGAAACCTTAACTAATCCTTTTGGACGATCGTTGAAATCTGAACCCTTTAAGATTTTTTTCTTATGAAAATAAATTTCACACTAGTGTATTTTTATTGAAGAAGTGGATTTATTTTATTTTAAAAATCATTTTATCATTTTTTGTGCCCGCGTCAGTGCTGTCTTTTAATAACTAACGAAGATCGTGAATTACAGCAAGGGATTATATTTCGAGATCTTTTAATATTCATTTTGAGTTATAGGGTTCATTAATTATAGTTAAATATCGTGTTCTTCGCACTTAAACCATAAAATTCAATGCAACAGCAATATCGCAAAATAATTCTAAAATGAATATATCCTTAGAATTTTCGATACACAGTCTCGCGCGCTGGAGATAAAAATGTTTTCTTTCCCATACAGTATTGCCATTGCTCGCTTTGAAATTGTTGAGTTTGTTAATCAAACATTAATTAAAAAGTTACAAAATATAAAATCGATAATAAAACAAATTTTAAATTCCATCGGGCTTCCAGATACCCATGTTCAGTGGAAGATTACGTTATTCAAAATTTGATGGCTCTAGGTATCACAATGCAAGAAACATACATACATTATGCAGATTTTATATTACGCCCAAAGGGTCTAATGTTTGGTGTGTTAGCTTTTTTTTTTTTTTTTTTTAAATAAATTTCATGTTCTTTGCACTTAAACTATAAAATTCAGTTCAACAGCAATATCACAAAATAATTTTAAAAAACATATCTTTATCGCTGGAGATAAAAAAATGTTCCCCTCCCCCGTATAGTGTTGCCATTGCTCGCTTTGAAATCTTTGAGTTTCTTAATGAAAAATTCGTTAAAGTTTTACAAATTAGGAAATAGATTATTAAAACAAATTCCAAATTGCAAATTTGGGCTTCCGGGTGCCCATATTCGAGTGGAGGACTACGTTATTCAAAATTTGATGTCTGTAGGTATCATTGTTTTTCCACAGTAAGAGAAACGTGAATAAATCCATGCAGATTCTTCGTTATTTAATTTCATTAAATATAATGCAGGGCTTTAATATTTGGTGACAAGAATCTGAAAAGTGATTCAGACTTTTATAGTGAACCAATGCAAAATGCCAAAATGAAATTAATAGCCCTTCTGGGGGAAATTGCCCTTTTTTTTTTTTTTTTTTGTTTTGTTTAAATATATAACAGCATTAGAAGCTTTGTCGCCAAATATGGTACTACACTAGCAACCCTGTTTCACTACACATATCTTCCAAACACGCTTTTCAAAGCAAATTTGGAAAAGCGGGAAATTTTCGCTTTCGAAAACCAAATAAAGCGAGATGTTTAACTTTGGGGGATCGAACTCCAACATCAAACACAAGCGAATTCGTTAATAACGTCGAATGAATCGCTTCCCAAGGAAACCTTTTAAAACTTTTGAAAAGTGGGTTTTATTTGAATAGTTATATATAAGAATTCTAAGGTTGAATCTTTCAGAAGCACGCGAATCCGTTTGACTTAGTGAGAAGTGCTGTTCCAACAACTTAAATGAAGGGACATTGATTATTTTGCTTGACGAATTGAGGCCCACAGCGATTTCGATTCATGCGAAAGGGAATTTGTTTAGCTCTGTTCATTAACAATATTTCGAAAGCTGTTATACTCTGTACAAGGTTTATTAACGGAAAGGAATTATTTATTCAAATTAGAGTTACCAGACTGTCAATAAGTTTTCGGAAATATCTGAATATTATTTGAAAATGGAAGGAATAAATAGCTTTTATTTTCCTTACTTCTGCATTTGGAAGTTTTTAGTCCTCAGCATTTTTCTAATTAGTAGGATCTTCTTTTTAGTGAACATTTATTTAATTTTTAGCTGGTATGACGTTACGCAATTCATCAAATTTTTCCCAAAGATAGTTTTGTTTGCTTGAAAAATATAACGTGTCTTTGTTGGCATGGGAAGTCTATGTGTTTGAATGCTGAACGTACATACTTTATAGCAAAATTACATCATGAATCATTTCTGCTTATGTATAACAAAAATCTTTCTTAAAATATGTAATGACTGCATTTTCTCAAAAATAAGTTGATTTGCTAAATTTTTATACTAAAATTTCGTATGATCTGTTAAATGGAATTAATAGTGCAGAATGAAAATTTAATTATCGTAGTATAGTGAATAGTTACACTGTTTAAGCGCTAAATATACTGTTTAAATGCTTCTGTGTCTGGTAATGCTTAAAAATTAGGAAATTATAGAAACTAGTTCATTTAAAGCACGTTTGTTGTTGAGCTATTTAAAAGTACCATAATTTATAAAATTAGTAATAACATGATATTTAATAAATAAAGGTAACACACAAGACGTTCAAAAACGCCCCTTTGGACGTCATTTACAGTGTCATCTGTTCTTGAAGATGCTAACAAAATTAGCTGTTTTAGGTGCATATCAGTTAATCTTGAATGACACTTTGATTTTATTCGATGCAACAAGTTTAAGTCCTTGGCACAAACAGCTTCTTCATGGATAATATAATGATACTTAAAAAACTACTTTTCTTCTCAAATAATTTTCAAACAATGTAACAAAACTTTTTATCCTGCCAACCATGCAAGGCGCTCCATCTGTGCAAACACTATTTAATTTTGTCTTTGTTAACTTAAATTACATTTTAAAGCTGTTTAAGTTCAAAATTAGTTGTCTCAAGTTAAGTTCATCCACAACAGCAAATCCTTCGTTCGTGTAAAGCACAAATATGCTTAACTTCGCGTTGTCTGTGATCCCACAGCTGTCATATAAAGTTAATGAAAAGTATTTGGAATTACTGTAGTCCAGAGACAATTTGCGTCGCAAGATCCTGGCCCAAGTCATATATACAACGCATGGCGGTATTTTCTAGACAACGCTATTTTTTGACATTTATATCATCGACATTTTGGGCAAATATTAAAAGGCCATGTTTCATTATCTCCTCTTCGTCAGAATAGGGTTCTTTCCTGTGGGTTACCGACAAAAAAAGTTCAAAAGAAGCCTTCACCATAGTTTTTATTTCTTCTTTGCTCTTCTAGAACAAGAACTGCGGGCCCGGATAAAGATTTTTTTAATAATAAATTCTGTTATTAAGTGTGATCAGACAGAATATTTGTTGTTGAAATCATTATGCAGTTGTTTGGAACGTCGGTCAGCTGAAAGGTTTTCGGCATTGCTGAACTAACTCGACATATCAAACAAACAGTTTGGAAGTATTTTGATGCATGAACAAAATTGCTCTTTCCAGACAGTTTTAAAATCATGAATTGCAATATCCTCTCCATATTCTCTTTTTGATGTCGAAGGTTTACTCATGGACATAATGCAAATAATTTTTTTTTTAAAACAACGCTCCACGCCAAAATCTAAAAATGGATTAAAAAAAGCTTAATGTCTTGTTCAACAGTTTATAATCAATCGAGTAACGCAGCCAGAGTGTCGCACACGCTCGAGAATAGACAACCATAGCAAAATACAATGGCGCCAAAGCAAGACAAGTCAAACCACTGGACTCGTACTACGCTGTCTTACCGCATCGTTGTACTGGTGTCAAGCACCGGCGCGTTTCGATGCTGTTGTATTCAGTAACATATGACATATGAGTAGGATTTTCAGTAACGTTGAGTAGGATTAAGACAGTTTTTGAATATCGTATTATTTTTTTCCAAATTTTTCAGTAAGTCTTCGCGTGCCACTGTAAAATTTTCTCCCTGAAACACTTTGCGTGCTGCGAGTTGACATCCATGATCGATAAGAATACGTCTATTGTTATTTAATAAGAATTAGCATCACACACAATTTAAACACATAATTATTCTGAACTCCTTCGTATATTAAAAATATTTTTATGTGTTACTGACCATTTCTATAATCTCAAAAAATAATTTAACTATTATAATAATAATTTAAGCGAAAAATTATATAAAATCCTTGGTAGAAAATGCATTTTATTGGAAAAAATAATGCTACATTATTTGGATGACATACAAATTGATTTAGTATATAAAAAATTGCATTTCAGTGAACTTAACACTGCACGAGAACGCTATTAGCAAATAAATGAGCAAAAATTATCAAATTTCTTTAAAGAATTTTGTGTAAATTTTTTGGTTACATTTATATCCACTTAACCACGTAGTACCTTAGCATTCATAATCTATGATTATCTTCTTGAACTGTCATTGCCACAAGTTAACATCACGCCAGCTTCTTACCTTCTAACGGGGAAGAAATGAAAGCATTAGACTTTATAAGATTTAATAATGCAGGATGAAACATCATTTTGTATTACCTTTCCGGTAAAACAATTCTTACTCTTAATTTAACCATGTCTCAAAATATACGGACCGTGATTTTAATAATGAAACTAACTGAAACCACGAGAGAGGTCAAGCAACATCGTAATGCATTGTTAAAGTATGGTATCCTACGGTTTGTCGGTCTGTAACCACAGATTTCTAAAGAAATGCTTTATCATGCTGGCTCAAATATCTTAATTTATTTTCACATTCAGTGCTTTTATGACAAACAATCAATAAATGTCAAAATAAATTAAAAATCTACGTTTATTTTTTTGGGTTTCGATATAAACGAAACTTTGCAGGTGCACGTAGTTGTAATAAATATAAAATAAGTTTCTTTAAAATCCTCTCGCAATTTTAAGTCTTCCTGTGATAAATGCATCGTTATACAATTTTTTTCGAATGTTTACTGACATTTTGGACAATCCTACATATCATATTAATTTAATTTTTCAGTTTTATAGAAACTTTAAAATGGGCATTAAGTAATTAGCAATTCTATACCTACTTAAATTAGCTTTACCTAATAATAACAAATTTACTCACAGCAGCTGTAAGGATGAAAGACCTTTAAAGATTCCGCTCGTCAAATCGGTTATCTTATTCCCATATAGAACTCTGAAAAAATAAAGTGAAAATTTCAGAATTTATTAACATTAAGCACACAATGTTTTCATACCAGCTATTAAGATTAACAATATAATTATAAAAGTTATTCACAGAAGAACATATGTATGATTTAAAATTTTGAAAGATAAAGCTAAATAATTGCAAATAGTTTCGCTTTAATTAGACATCAGGTAAAAGAATCATCAACGTTCATATTCCTAATTGGAGTTTAATAATGTATGTAAAAATTAAAGAAAATAATTTTTCGTTTTTGCAAGAACTTACAATGATGTTAAGGTTTTCAATCCACTAAAAGCATCACCAGCAATTTTCGAAATTTCATTATTGCTTAGGTCACTAGGAAATAAAAAAAAGCAAAATTAGTTACATTATTCTCAAACCAATAATTAATTACACAAAATCATTTACATACATTCCAACTAACATTTTAAAATAATTTTTAGATCACTATATGATTTTGTAGCTATTATAGACTCATGTCATTAGCCATCTTTTTATTATTTCGACTCATTATCACAAATAGTAATAACTTATCTCAGATTAAAATATTTTAAAACAAACTAGAATGCTTTCTTGAAGTAGCAAATCTGATTCTTAATTTTTGTTAATAACAGGCTCTGTGAATTTTGCGTCATTAATACGCTTTCTTCAGTGGCGTACCTAGAGCTTTTGCTATCGCTAGAGCGTTTTTTAGTTCCTGAGTTTGTCTGCCTGGGTCGATATCTGAATTTGTCGCCCCTTTTAGCATACAAGCAAACAACTAATAAATGACATATAGCAAAATGAAATAAAAATATACGTTTATTTTTGGAGGAAAACTTCCGACATTTCAAATCAATCAAAAATTCGACATATCAAATCATTATTATAATTTATATTATTAGTATTGTTGCATGCGTACGGGTTCGTAATAGACTCAATGCACAAGTCCGATAAAAAGTTTAAAAAATTTATTCTTATCACAAGAAATAAAACAAAATGCTGAAATTTTTACTCACGGATATTAGTACAATATCACAATATCACACAGTAATTATACAAGTATTTTAAACTATTAAAACGTTAAACAGAACACAATTCAAAGCGCAGAGACTCCTAATTCGATCTCACCGCGAATTCGTTACAATAAACAACAAAGTTATCTAAACAACTGAACTGATATGTTTTCTCCGGCTTTTATAAGCTTTTTAATCAGTCACGAGAAGCTTCTAGTAATTTCTCGAGGTTTCTGGAAAGCAAAAGAGTAGAATTACAGTTGCAGCTAACACACAATTGTATGATTTCAATTTAAATACAAATTACAAGATGTTTCAGACTTCTAGCTGAACTGACAATCATAATGATACTTATACTGCATCAGTTTAATTGATTTTTCCAACTTTCTTTAACGTAATTCTGCGTAGATTTGGATTTTAAACATATTTAGATTGTGCCGATTTAGTAAACAATTTTATTATTGACAAACAGTTTTAATGAAGCTGGCTTGTAATTCTCTCTTCACAAGGAACCTACATGGTCTTAAAACTCCTCACTCGATTTATAGAATAAGAAATTATATGCACTATAAAGGAAACCTACCAAGTCAACTGTGTTTACTAGAGCCAGTTAATAATAATATAGTTCTCATCATTCTAACAGAAGAGGTAACTCTGCAAGTTTGTAAATGCTCGCCAAGCATCTCATGTAACTATTAAGTGTTACGCTTTGTAACCAAAATTTCTAATGCAACAAAGGATGTTCTAAATATCAACACAGTGGGTCCAAACATTTGTTTCTAGATCTTTATAATTGCTTAGTTTAGAGCAGTATTTCCCTTGGACGTAGTAACTCCATGCAAGAGCACCTCGTGTATTTTCCTATGATTTTTTATGGATGTTTCCTGAAAAAATAAAAGAATGTCCCTTATCTAGCTCAATGACTATAGTATAACTGCTTTATTTTGTGCAACAACTGACATTCTCCTCAACTAGTGAATCGTTAAAAATTTCGTTTAAAAATTCCCCGAATAGCAGAAGGAGTTCACATAGCTGCATTCTAAACTATTTGTCTTGCCATTTAAACATAATCTCAAGCTATGATCTTGCACACGTTTTTAGTGATTGCAACATAAAATTACATTCTCTCTCATGAAGCCCCTGCATCCTGATACGAGCTCCTAAAACACGAAAATTATTCCCAAAGGATGTGAGAGATTACAAGGAATAATTTATATTAAAAATGCTACTCGGTAGTTCATTCACATTCAAAAGTTAGTAGACTTGAAGGCAGATGCTGTAAATTTCTCGCCTGGGACAGACACGCACGAAAAATCACCCCCACGAGGGGCCAACAACGAGGAAAGGAAATCCATCATCAACACAAGAAAGAGAAGGAAAGGCAAACCACAGGGGGAAAGCGGCAAAAAAGATATGCCACCCAAAACGCTGCTCCCACAATCATACGTCACTTGTCAGACTTAAGCATGCTCTCCAGAATTATAAAATACTTGAAAGAAGGTGCATTGCGAATGAATTGAATTCGACAAGAAAATATTAGAGCACTATTCGATTCTTTCTTGACAATTCACGTGGTTCAAGTCCGTTTTAATCATGGAACATGCCATCAAATAGGATAATCTGCGTGACGTTAAGTAATTTGATGATGTATTTTGAATCAGAAAGCACCTGGACTTCCCAAATGACGCCTCTACACTATTATAAGAACATTATCATAAGAATTGTTTTGTTGTTGGGCTAACGTTTGTCTTTAATACCATAACTTAAATCACAAAATTCGTTAGGTTTTAATTTAATCTATTAATTAGCTGATCAGAAACGTTAGATAATTTGGTCAAATGTTGCCGTATTATAAAAAAAAATATAGATGCAATTTTTCGAAGCTTTTATATCTAATATTAAGAATCCATTAAAGCAGTTTTGTTACAATGTAGACAAGGTTTCAACATACAGTTAGCACATTGCTCGTTTTTGCATAGAAACTGCATTTTTTACTGTACAAATTGTTTTTTTTTATTGTTTTAACTGTATTTGATGCTTTATGTTTTTCTATATTTTTTTAATGAAGATATTTTGAGTTTTTATGTGTGCCTTGCCGTGAAGTGAGAACTGAATTAACTGAATGAGAAATATATCTCTAACGAAATTTGAGGAAATACGTTTAAATGGAATGCAGGAAAAATGCATATAATTTAATATTCCGTACAAGGAAGTCGTGGTGTATACATCATATTTTTTTCATGATGCCTGTAAGTATGTATGTGTGTATGTATTTCGCATAACAAGAGCCTCAGAAGATTTAACTTGTGTATGGGATTGCTGTAACATGTAGTTGTGCACCTCCCTTTTTGGTTGCAATCGGCCACTCTAAAAGTATATAAATATAATATATATATATCCACTCTGTTAACCGTTTCGGTGAGCTCAGTTTTTTATTCTTATACACTAGTAAACTGTGCATTTGTTCGCTTTAAAAGTGATTGAATTACAGGTTCCTCTTCCTCAGCTAACGAAACACTTTCGTCACTCTCTTATTTTTTCTGCCCCTAAAGAAAAGAAAAGTGATTCGATAGTTTTATTCAGAACCTATGCTAGGCCAAATTTAAGTTGCACTATTGCTTAAATTTTTTATTGGTTATTTTTAGTTTCCCCTAAGTTTAAATGGATATCCTAATAAAAATGGTAACGAAATTTAATTTTGTGTATCGCGGGTTTAAAGATGACTTCAAATAATTCTGATTAAAAGAAATACTCCATAAAAAAGTACGATTAAAACTATTTCAGTTTTTAAAATTTTAATTTTTTGATACCTAAGTTGTTTAATTATTATTGTATACAAAATTGAAAATTTCTAAACTAATACGCAGTTCAACGACTAAAAATGTTCTATTTTTGAAATTAATATTAATTAGAAATAATATGAGAATATCTATAGTATTTTACAGGAAAAAGAAAACTTACATCCTTTTCAGCCTTTTAAAGGAAGCAAAAGCCTTTGAAGGTATCTCTCGAATCTGGTTTTGTTCCAGCCGTCTAAAACAAGTAAAAATTATGTTAAATATTTTATTTAATATTCATTTTATTAAACATACATTTATCATCCAAAATATAAATACATATTGAAAAGAAGAGATGAAACGCTGAAGAAGGTGAAGAGGTGAAAAGAACCGAAACACCCTTTTTATTAAATATTTATCACAGAAATATCTTGCTAAGTACGAAGTTTCTTAAAATTAGGTAAATGATATTAGAAGAAGAACTTTAATAATGTACGAACAGAGTTCGTAAGGATTAACATATAACTTTTCTGTATATATATAGCAAAACCTCCGTTAGTAAAAGCATTTATTAGCTTTTAAAGCATTATTAAAGCATTTAATAGCTTTTAAAGCATATATTTTCGAACTTTGATCGTATAAATAAAAATATTTTTTTTTAATTCACAAAACGAAAATGAGTAACTTACTAACCAAATTTTTGCTCTACGAGGACTACGAAATTGTTAGTTTTTACTATAGTTTTAATTTACTATTATATTTTTAAAAACATTTTAGTTGGAAAAATGCACCTAAGATAAAATATTTAAGGAAAAAAGAACTCAAGAAACATGTATAAAAGAATAAAACCCGCTTTTAAAATTGTTTTCTGGAACCCTTCTTTAATTATGTTTTTAAACTGATTTCAGTTCTTCATTACAAACATGGGGGGAGGCAGCACAACTTTCTTAAAGAAGAGTTTTTATGGAGGGTAAATTAAATAAATAATAAATAAGATTATTAAATTACTTTGTTTTATAGTTATTTTTTAAAAAGTTTCAAATAATTAATTTTATTCAAAAAATATTTTAGCTTATCAGTAAAGTATAAATATTAGACCCAAAACTTTCTTACTGTTACACCTGATAGGATTATACAATGATAGTAACTTAATTCTGTAAAACGCTAACTTACAGTTCCGTTGCTGTATCCGGTATATGATCTGGTATCCGACTCAGACCTTTGTCTCTGCAGTCGACAACTCCATCGTAGCAAGAACAAGGATGGGGGCACATAGGTTCCCGAGAACATCCAGCAGGTGGCTCTTCTTCAGCACCTGAAAAAGAATGAATGGATTTGGGCACATTTTTCCTGACAGCATTTAAAAAAAAAATTCAGAACCACTATCCCCCCCCCTAATTTTATAACATCAAGAATAAATAAGTACAATAGATGATCTCAATTTTTTTAACTTTGTGAATATTTTAAACTTTAGTAATTTTAAATATTAATTTAAAAAAGCCTTTTCCCAAAGCCATCTGATTCTTTTTCGTCGGGAGCTTGCTATTTTGCTCGCAACAAGATAATTGATTGATAGAATTGTGTTTGTGACAGCCATGTAGAATGGTTCGCTTATTTTGTCTCAATTACTTCGCATCGCTGACATCTTATTTATAATTAGTGTAATGAAATAAAAGTGAAGGAATACAGTCAATGTGTCTTATTTATAGTCATCTTATTTATAATTAGTGTCATCTTATTTATAATTAGTGTCAGTGAAGGAATACAGTCAATGTGTTAAGTGATTATTGTTTGTGAAACATATTAAGTAAAGATCATTTATTACTTACTATAATTTGAAAGTGTACCATAACTTCAATCAGTAAGAAATTCAAGCTAAACGTAACCCATTTTGTACTAAATTAATTATTCAGCTCTCCAGAATATATAATTACTTCAGCATTTAAAAAACGTGTATTTCTAGTCCTGAAAAAGAATTGAGGTGTAAACAATGCCTTTCGAGAAGCATTGTATCCCACACAAATAATTAAATATTAACCACTCAACACGTTTACTCATTTACCAATTGCATTTAACAAGGTCGCTATAAAAGAAAGCCAAAGTGATCCTGGCTCGTCTGGACACGTTAAGGGCCATGCAGAAATAATAAGATACACCAACAAAAAGAGCATCTACAAGAAAGAAATGAAGACAGTAAGGAAAAGGAAAAAGAAATCCTCAAGGGGAAAAAAGATTGAAGAAGGAGAAAAAGGAAGTCTATTGGGATGACAGAAAAGTAACTAACAAGGTTAGTTGTGTGGTTCCTAGGGAAGCCAAAGCAATCCCTAATGGTGTTCTTTTGTAGACAGAAGAAGCTTGGTTCAGTAGTCAACGACATGATCCATAACTGAAAATTTTCCTAGAAAAATTCTTTTTCACAAGGACTGTTCGTTTTCTTTTTAACAACCAAAATTTTCAAGACTATCCACATAAATTTCTTCATTCGTAAACATTCAATGTTACAGAGTAAATGAATAAAATTGAAACGTTTTATTTATTTACTCTGTTTACACCGCAAAATACCCATACAGAGTATTTCCCTGTTATGCACTAGATTCGGGTATTACGAAGAAGTTGCCTAAAACTACACGAAGCTTAAAATTTAATCCCAAAATAATACACCTAGCAACAAAACAGTGGTCCTTCAGGCTTCTGCAGTCCAATATCTTGAAAATGAAGCTGGGTCTGAGGGAAAATGAAAGAATCATACTTAATAACACTCACTTCGTTCCTTACCTTAAAATTAGTGTTTCTCAAAATAAGCAATATCATCTCCCCATGGGGGCATCCTAATTATTCATGGGACGTCAACATTAAGGGAGCGGCAGAAGGTTTTGAATTTCAAAAGCGCAGCAGTGCTTTTAAAATATATTTATATATAATTTGTATATTTGAATATGCAATAAAAGTCCAATATCCAGCATCTATTGGTATGGCATATGCAATGAGCCGTCAGTCGTATTTCCGACTTGCCTACAGTTCAAGGGTGCTATAAGTGTGCCATTTAACATAACTACTCGAAAGCATTCAGCAGCTGCTGATCTTCAGAGTCCTTTGTGCTAGTCCTCGTTTGTATACATTGTATACGCTGTTTGTATTCGATGTTAGCAAGGTAAGACCACAGCATAGATCAGGGATAGCCAAACTTCGTGTCATAAGAGCTGTATGTATAAGAGCCACGTGTCAGTAAGAGGCGCATTTACTTGGGAAAGTTCGAGAGCGGCGACTAGATTTTCCAAAACTACAAGTCCATATTTACACCATTTTAAACGTAATAAAACAGGTTTCAGATGCGAAGAAACTTCTGATTCCAAATAATTATTCTAGGACAGCTACCTTCAACATGTGAAGATGCGTCAATGACAAACCAAAGTTTTGTGGTTTGTCGGTTTTCTCCAAATCTAGCTTGATGAGGTTGTAGAGACATTAGGTTATTTCGAAGCCGGAGAGATGAAAAATGAGCAAGCGCTTTCGCCGGGAATCGAACCACGCACCTCTAGAATACGCGTCCTACGTGCAGACCACAACACCACGAAGGCATGCGAAGAAGACTGGAGAAATACCTTATATGCTTCCCCTTTTTTAAAGGGCGACTGGGGTTTTTAAGGGACCCAGTAGCCAAATCCTGGGCGGGAAGAATCATCATCCACCACCCTTTTAGTTCGGACGCCACTGCAGAGACATTAGGTTAATTGGAAGCAAGGGAGATGAAAAAGTTAGCAACGCCTTCGCCGGGAATCGAACCGCGGACCTCTGGAATACGCGCACCACGAAGGCATGCCAAGAAGGTGGGAGAAACACCTTATAAGGTAAAAAGTTCTATTTCCCAGTTTTTAAATACACCGATTCTTCAGCACTACCTTCATGTAAATGTTGATCTATCACAGCTTTTGTAATTCTCATGAAAATTCGTATTCTTCTTATATATGTGCCACAGCAACTCAAATCCTTTCTTTGCTACCTCAAATTTATTCCGTAATTCTCTGGCATGCTCCTCCGGTATTTGGATGTCGAATACACTCTTTACTTAGTTCTAACTTGTACCAAATTCTGTATGATAGTAAATGTTTCTGATGCATCGTATTCTGTACTACTTACAGACCATCCCAAATTAGTTTCTACCTCTAAAAATGACTCAGAAAATTCGGTAGATCCTTCCCGCAAAGCATCCACAACCAAATCTAAATTTTAAAGATTTTCTTTACAAATGATATAAGAGAATCAGTACGATATATTTATTATGTTTTTGAATAACATTATGAAATTTCTTAACTAACAAAAATGAAATATAAAGTAATTACGTTTGGACATTGACCAATTTAGACTTACGGCATCAATTTAAACTTGGTAGAAAGAAATGAAATAAATTAATTACTTTGTTTTGAAGATTGCGTAATTTTAGTCTACCATAATTCATACATATATTTCATTTTCATAAAAGCCGCGTTATGGCCACCCCTGCCATAGACTCACCTTAAAAAACTATCCACTGTCTGCTTTTATGAGAACACTGTCAAAACATTCACTTTGAAAAAAACATATTGTAATAAATAAATGTTTCCTTTTATTAAAATATACAGCGTTTTTTTTTTCTTATTTACATGCATTGTTATAAATGGTCCACTGTACGTAAACATGCTCTGCTGGAAAATGTAAGGTGGGGCGTGACATTGGGAATGGCAATACATGGTGCGCGGTGGTGCGGAAATACAGTAAAATCATAATTACACATAACCACAGTACACTCCATACTGTGCCATGTACGTGCCTGAGACAAAAAATTTTAATGTGCCATGTACGTGCTTGCGTCAAATATTTCTCTTGTACAGACGTTAAAAATGTAATGACGGAAGGCGGAAAATTGTAACTTGGTCGTTAAAGAAAAGTATTTTTATTTGCAACACAGCAAATGGTTAGCGTGAATGGTTACGTACAATCCAAACAGGAAAGCAATTTCTGCTGTACTTGCAAGATATTTTCGATGAAGGTTTCGACTTTCACTAAAAGATACTCAAACTGAAAAACCACAAAGATAAAAACACGAAACCTCTACTGATCATAAGCACTCTGCCAAAATTTTTAAAATAAAAAATTTAGTTTAGGAATGTATAAACACTGTCGTTGAACGTAAATATTTATAAGGAAAAATACCAAAGAATAGTTACTGCTACAGGTACTAGCAACAATAAACTTTTGGATAAAAAAAGTCTCTAACATTTCGTGATAGTAATGAACCCTTATCTGCTGCACACAGTGAAAATTATATAGAAGCTCTAGAATATTTGGCAAAATTCGATGAGTTTTTAGCTTCGGATATAAAACATTTCGAATTCAGCTGGCGTGAGTTACCTTTCGTAATTCATTTGCGATGAGTTTAAACAAATGTTGAACAAATGAATGTTAGAAACATTCTGAACTCAGGGCATTTCTAAGGCTCTTTCTTCTCTTCTTGGGCAACTGCATGATCATACCTCTGGTATTTGAACTCATATCAGGTAATATTTCAACTATATTTGTATAACCATTCGTAAATATGACACCCTTGATTCCTCTTATAGCTGAGGGAGTTATTCCCAAACAATATGTAAATACATTCATTCTTTGAGTACAGTAATGACTGCAAAGTCAAGGAATTGCAAACTCAGTTCAATATAAATGCAATCTTTGCTATTGCCTATTGCTTGGAAATGTATTAAGAGCATAACTTTAAGAGACATTTAATAAAAACTGTTGCCGTGTACTACGAAACAAAATTCCTTAGAAGAAGGCAAACATACCGTTAGTCCTGTTACTAACCATTCTGTAATGAGGAATACAATTTAGAGCGCTCCTTCGAACAGCTCACTGCTCAATTTTTATTATGTGATTCATTATTTACGAATGATTGCTACATTTTATTTTTAATTATTATTTTATTATACTAATTTTTATAGAAACAATTGTTGTGCGTCTTTTAAGCTGTCAAGTACATTTGAAAGATAAAAAAATGGCAAACATACGTATAACGCATTTCAAAACTCAATATCTTTAAAACTAACTGGTTTCTGATCGTAAAACTTTTGTATACTAAATTCGATGTTCTTCAGACTGTAGTCTCTGAAACTGCTCATAGTTTCAGAAGATGAAATTTGCCGCTGAAGTAATGAAGTCACTGCAGCATATGACAATAAATAATAAAATTTATGAACGATAGAACTCAGTCTGAAAAGTGTTTATGCAGTAATAATGCAGTAAATTTCGAAACATAAATTAATTAAGAATGCTAAGTTATCCACG